TTTTACCGTTTTCGAACTATCAGCGTTTTAACGCATAGCGCAAACCGCCATGTTTGCCCCCTCCCCCCCACCTTATCGACCACTTTTGAAATAGGCGACATACGTAATTTTGATCACCACAGTCCATAATACAATAATCAGCAATAACATTGCGTACTACTTTCATGCATGCTCAACCCCCCTCAGCTCCTGGACTAGTAGTCCAAAGATTACTTTGAAGTATCACACGACAACCTTTTGAAATGAAGATGTGTTTGTTTAGGCCTTGGCATATAAATTACAGCATGAATAAATTAAATACATTCATAATAAACTACAACAAAATTATGAAAACCCAATATAAAATACCTTTCTGTAATAGGCTACGCCATTTAATTTGAGTTGTTGAGCCTGCACTGTAAACACTTTTTGATTGGATTGTAGTAAATTACTAACCTGATTTAAAAATGTCAACATGAGGTTCTGTTGGCTGTAACAATTAATTATTCTAAACAGTACGTGAAAGTAGAAGGGATATCATATCAGAGACATATCATAGCTTGGTTATGACTGGAGTACGTACGGGCCAAGCAGTCTAGTCTAATATGCCTACGTATAGTTATCGTAACTGTACTTCTGTACAGGTATTTATATTAGACGACTGTTTTCAATATTTTAAATATCACGGAAAGTAAGTAATATTTAGAATTCCTGCTTTATAGATGCAGGTTATATTTTCAATAACGAAGACTTTCTTTTACTGTATTTAAACCAATATTTGATGCAAAACTAATAGCAATAAGGAAAATTAAAAGAAACAACCTGCTTGGAATAATTCAGTCGACTTGCAGGAATTAGGTATGCGAATGCGATGCTACGACAGCCGCGGGTGGCTAGCACGTTAGCACCCACCGAACCCTTCACATGAGGATTTGCCGCTCTGTTCAACGCAAATTTTTACAAAACTAAGCCCAATAAAAAAAAGTTGAATAGGAACAGTAAAATATTCAATTATCCACAACGTTACCACAGATAAAACTTTTTTGACCAAAAAAAGACAATGTCTCGTTTCTAGTTTGATCCAAGATAAACTTTATAAAATAAACATAACCAATCAAATAATAATTTTAAAACTATACTCTTTGTATGAAGGGATTATTTCCAGGATCTCTAAAAATTTTCAAAATTTGATCAAAATATTGCCAAAATACAGAGTAAATTTTTGACGTCTACACTACTAATTTTTGCCGATCCCGAGGCGTGACATCATTCTTGCATCGCTTCTACGACAAACCAATTAGCATAACCATGATAGCAACCCATAAGGCCAATGTTAAAAACTTTAGGTTAGTTTTAATTTGTACAGACATAATAAAATTGAAATTTGTTTCTGTTTGTATAATGACATGTCCACTGTTTCTCAAAATAACCCTGGAAAGTTTGGCTTTAATATGCTCAGCCGTTATTGGGTTATCTGATTACATAGTTTGCGTAAGTTCCGATCTCAAAGAGCTTCGCTCAACTAGTGTTTAGGCTATGTTGCTATGTTCCTTAAATTACAGTCTGTAATATAAGGAACATAGCAACATATTACAGTAGCTACTTTCTGACGTCATAGCATCTACTGACGATATTAAACATTTTAATTTTGTCTAAACACTGAAAATCACACTACCTATCTGTTTAAAATTTTTATTTACTATGAACAAACATAAAACATAAATTTGTCAGCCGATTAAGTTATCTTGTTGATGTTGACTTATAACGCAATTATTATTAGATTTTAACGATTTCTTTACCAAAGATTTGTCCGGATAATCTGTTCCAGTTTGCAGTACAATACAGGAAATGGTGTTTTAATACGATTCTCGGTAAAGTAAGCGTTCATTTTTGTCCCCCACTTGCACTAGAATCATATTGACGGATGGTGCAAAGTTGACCTTTACCCCGCTGAAAGTGACGTGTTGTGGGTGGTGGTGGGAGAAGGAAGCAGATCGGACTCGACCACCCCTCTCTCTCACAACTCCTGACACCTGATCCGGCTGAAGATTGAAGAAGAAGCTCTGGGTGAATAGGGTATAGTGTACCCTGCGAGCGCCTCGCTCTCCCCTCCAACATCCGTCTATGTTATTTTCATGTTCCAAAAATACAATCGATTTTGTCGGGGTTTTGATAGTTGATTTCAAGTTTGATTGATGCACATATTTAGCAAAAAGTGCGTTTAGATTGCACATTGACATTATTGCACTATGCAGTGATCACGCCTACACACCCTTTAATTATTTAGTTAAAACCTACGACTCTTAAGATTATATTTTGAAACTACAGTTTAGGAAGTTTTGAATCACTGAAGAATGGAGAAACGTCAACGGACAATGGACAGGGTTGTACATTAAACAGTAGACCGAGGTCACTATCAATGTTCAACGGGGGCAGCCTTGAATTTTGCGAAACAAAAGAAATGTGCAAAACGGGGGGGTTATGACCTTGCTGCCGAAGTCCTTGGGAGTTGATAACGGATAAGGCTGCAGTGGGTAAAGTGTCACGTGATGATGAGAAAATTCGGCTTTTGGAGCCAACCTACTAAGTTATCTTACTAAGTATATACCTCAGTTCAGACTAGCTTTTTTACTGAATTTTAAACTCCATAAATGAATATTATTTATGGTATTAATGGCCTGTTTCAACGCAATGTCTTTTTAAATACAGGGTGTTGAAAATGTCTGGAACCAACATTATATCTGGTGAGTGGTTAAAGAAAAACAACTGATATTTTGTGTATGGATATACTATGGTTTTACCTATCTTTTGGTGCCTTATGAAATTTTTTACCACTTATAGGGAACGCCCTGTGGAGGATGCAGTAAAAAGTTTTAATGGAAGCCTATGGTAAATGATACATGATTTTAAAGGCCATTTTTTTCTGAGTAAGGAGCCACAAGTTTTATCTCAAAAGGACCACCCTAGCGAAAATGGCGACTGTTTGAAATTTAAAAACCCAATTATAGGGAACGTCCTGTGGAGGATGCAGTAAAAAAAAAAACAGTCGCCATTTTTGCTAGGGTGGTCCTTTTGAGATGAAACTTGTGGCTCCTTACTCAGAAAAAAATGACCTTTAAAATGATGTATCATTTACCATAGGCTTTTCATTAAAACTTTTTACTGCATCCTCCACAGGACGTTTCCTATAAGTGGGTTTTTAAATTTCAAACAGTCGCCATTTTCGCTAGGGTGGTCCTTTTGAGATGAAACTTGTGGCTCCTTACTCAGAAAAAAATGGCCTTTAAAATCATGTATCATTTACCATAGGCTTCCATTAAAACTTTTTACTGCATCCTCCACAGGGCGTTCCCTATAAGTGGTAAAAAATTTCATAAGGCACCAAAAGATAGGTAAAACCATAGTATATCCATACACAACATATCAGTTGTTTTTCTTTAACCACTCACCAGATATAATGTTGGTTCCAGACATTTTCAACACCCTGTATATTAGTCATCCAGTACCATGATATTTAATTTTAATTTGGCCTCCGGATTAGGTTGAATATCAACATTGGTTTAAATACCTGCTTCTGTTTAATCCAAATGCTGCTTGTGCCGCAACTAGTTTCAACTTGTCATCTTCAGGTACTGTATGTAATTTGACGGGTGAGGTTCATAATGTCCAAATTTCACAAACTCCAACGTCTAAAATATTAAATAAACAGTGCGTTTCATAACCTCCAAATTTCATAAACTCCAAAACTATAACTTTCAAATAATCACCGATTCACAATGTCCAAATTTCACAAACTCCAACGTTTAAATATAAAATAAACAGAGCGGTTCATAACCTCCAAGTTTCATAAGCTCCAACGGTACAGTATCTGCCAGAAGTCGCTGCAGAGGTTGCCGTGGTTCGGTATGTAGGCGCTACACGTTCTACTGTTGTAGCGGTGTAACACGAAGTATCATTGTTGCTCCGTAATTGCTTTCTTAAGAGTATAAGTATATATTCTTAAGAGTTCCCATAGTCCGATCATGCTGGTTCGCGAACTCGTTCGAATAAACGTAGGTTTACACGTTTGTACCAAATTTCATCAAAATCGGATGATTTTTGCTCGAGTTATCGCGCTAACGGACACACATATAAATATATATATAACTGATGGTGTTTTTTGTCTCTAGGGACCTCAAAACGAAAAAGTAAATCGGTCCCGGGACCAGGTCTTACCATGAATACTACGGTAATAGCTTATTCCCTATAGGGGAAATTCGCTAAAATGTAAATTTGATTTGCACATTGTGTGCTAACACATATTTGAGTCACACATCTGAGTGTTCTTCAATCATTAAAATGTACGTATAATCAGTAGTTGAGCGCTGGCGAACGGTGCCTGCTATCTGACTGTGGCAACCACTAGAGAGACTTCTGGCCCAGACTGTACCGTTGGAGGTTATGAAATTTGGACATTATGAACCGCTCTGTTTATTTAATATTTAAACGTTGGAGTTTGTGAAACTTGGACATTGTGAAACAGTGATTATTTGAATGTTATAGATTTGGAGCTTATGAAATTTGGAGGTTATGAACCGCTCTGTTTATTTAATATTTTAAGCGTTGGAGTTTGTGAAATTTGGAGTTTATGAAACGCTCCCGATTTGACGACCGTCGAATGACGCTTTTATGACATCCTTCAATTTATTGTAGAACTACAATAAATAACAACTTTGAAATTCGTTTTTAATGATTGTCAAAATCCATACAATATGTAGCATCAAATTTTTTCAATTAAAAATTATCCATGGTATTTGGTCGACATAGGATAACCTAATTGATGTTCTATAAAATGTTCTGGGACATTGACTCATACTATAGTTAATATAAAATGTTCTCAATATTATACTGCATCAATAAGTTAAAAATGTTAACAGTAACTGCTGTTATGCCAGTAAACCATGTATTATTGCACTATTTGGTCATAGAATAATACTTCATCTATGATTTGGTTTTACATACAGTCTGCCTCTCTGTTTCAGCCTCAACAGGATGCATGTGATGGAAGGAGAGAGTGAGAAGTGTTCAGAGATGGTCGCTGAAAGTGCTCCCGAGCTGGTCACATCCAAAACAACCATTCTGGAGCTAAAATTGGGCAAAGAGGATCTACCATCGGCCGAGCCGGGAGTGCCAGAACCCCCCACAGAGCTACTCACATCTGTGGAACCACTAGTCAATGGAACTAATGGAAACCTCGAGGAGGAGAAAAGTGACTCTTGCGACAAAGACAAGCCAGCGGAGCCGGTGGTGAGCGTGAACGGGGACAGTGAGGAAAACAGTGCTAGTGTGGAGTGTAGAACTAAAGAGGATAGTGCGAAGGAGGAGAAGGATGATGCCAAAGAAATAAAGGAAGTGAAGGAAGCAAAGGAAAAAAAGGAAGTGAAGGAGGTGGAGCTGAAGGAGAGCAGTGGAGGATGCAGTGAGGAGGAAGACAGACAGAGTGTCACAAGTAGTCAGGTGAGTGACCACTGTATAGTATGCTGGGTAATGGAGTGAAGGAGAGCAGTGGAGGATGCAGTGAGGAGGAAGACAGACAGAGTGTCACAAGTAGTCAGGTGAGTGACCACTGTATAGTATGCTGGGTAATGGAGTGAAGGAGAGCAGTGGAGGATGCAATGAGGAGGAAGACAGAGTGTCACAAGTAGTCAGGTGAGTGACCACTGTATAGTATGCTGGGTAATGGAGTGAAGGAGAGCAGTGGAGGATGCAATGAGGAGGAAGACAGACAGAGTGTCACAAGTAGTCAGGTGAGTGACCACTGTATAGTATGCTGGGTAATGGAGTGAAGGAGAGCAGTGGAGGATGCAGTGAGGAGGAAGACAGAGTGTCACAAGTAGTCAGGTGAGTGACCACTGTATAGTATGCTGGGTAATTGAGTGAAGGAGAGCAGTGGAGGATGCAGTGAGGAAGACAGACAGAGTATCACAAGTAGTCAGGTGAGTGACCACTGTATAGTATGCTGGGTAATGGAGTGAAGGAGAGCAGTGGAGGATGCAGTGAGGAGGAAGACAGACAGAGTGTCACAAGTAGTCAGGTGAGTGACCACTGTATAGTATGCTGGGTAATGGAGTGAAGGAGAGCAGTGGAGGATGCAGTGAGGAGGAAGACAGAGTGTCACAAGTAGTCAGGTGAGTGACCACTGTATAGTATGCTGGGTAATAGAGTGAAGGAGAGCAGTGGAGGATGCAGTGAGGAGGAAGACAGAGTGTCACAAGTAGTCAGGTGAGTGACCACTGTATAGTATGCTGGGTAATGGAGTGAAGGAGAGCAGTGGAGGATGCAGTGAGGAGGAAGACAGACAGAGTGTCACAAGTAGTCAGGTGAGTGACCACTGTATAGTATGCTGGGTAATAGAGTGAAGGAGAGCAGTGGAGGATGCAGTGAGGAGGAAGACAGAGTGTCACAAGTAGTCAGGTGAGGGACCACTGTATAGTATGCTGGGTAATGGAGTGAAGGAGAGCAGTGGAGGATGCAGTGAGGAGGAAGACAGACAGAGTGTCACAAGTAGTCAGGTGAGTGACCACTGTATAGTATGCTGGGTAATGGAGTGAAGGAGAGCAGTGGAGGATGCAGTGAGGAGGAAGACAGAGTGTCACAAGTAGTCAGGTGAGTGACCACTGTATATAGTATGCTGGGTAATGGAGTGAAGGAGAGCAGTGGAGGATGCAATGAGGAGGAAGACAGAGTGTCACAAGTAGTCAGGTGAGTGACCACTGTATAGTATGCTGGGTAATGGAGTGAAGGAGAGCAGTGGAGGATGCAGTGAGGAGGAAGACAGACAGAGTGTCACAAGTAGTCAGATGAGTGACCACTGTATAGTATGCTGGGTAATGGAGTGAAGGAGAGCAGTGGAAGATGCAGTGAGGAGGAAGACAGACAGAGTGTCACAAGTAGTCAGGTGAGTGACCACTGTATAGTATGCTGGGTAATAGAGTGAAGGAGAGCAGTGGAAGATGCAGTGAGGAGGAAGACAGACAGAGTGTCACAAGTAGTCAGGTGAGTGACCACTGTATAGTATGCTGGGTAATGGAGTGAAGGAGAGCAGTGGAGGATGCAATGAGGAGGAAGACAGACAGAGTGTCACAAGTAGTCAGGTGAGTGACCACTGTATAGTATGCTGGGTAATGGAGTGAAGGAGAGCAGTGGAGGATGCAATGAGGAGGAAGACAGGCAGAGTGTCACAAGTAGTCAGGTGAGTGACCACTGTATAGTATGCTGGGTAATGGAGTGAAGGAGAGCAGTGGAGGATGCAATGAGGAGGAAGACAGGCAGAGTGTCACAAGTAGTCAGGTGAGTGACCACTGTATAGTATGCTGGGTAATGGAGTGAAGGAGAGCAGTGGAGGATGCAATGAGGAGGAAGACAGACAGAGTGTCACAAGTAGTCAGGTGAGTGACCACTGTATAGTATGCTGGGTAATGGAGTGAAGGAGAGCAGTGGAGGATGCAATGAGGAGGAAGACAGGCAGAGTGTCACAAGTAGTCAGGTGAGTGACCACTGTATAGTATGCTGGGTAATGGAGTGAAGGAGAGCAGTGGAGGATGCAGTGAGGAGGAAGACAGAGTGTCACAAGTAGTCAGGTGAGTGACCACTGTATAGTATGCTAGGTAATGGAGTGAAGGAGGTGAATCTGAAGGAGAGCAGTCACGTGGCCTAGATATAATCTAAATCTATAAAATATTGCCTATAGATGAATCTGATCCGATGGTGTTTTTGGTCTGTGGTGATTTAAATTTTAAAAATCGGTCGAGGTTTTTTTAAAAATAGTATGCTGGGTAATAGGTTTGACCTTTAAAAAAAATTTTAAGCAAATTTCTTTTTCCCTATAGGCTATGGGAAATTCACTAAAAATAATAAAATACAGCCAGAATATCTGTAAACCCTCTATGATACATGCCCAGGGTATTCACATTTCACTTGTGGAAGATGGAAACTGTCTCTTACAGATAAAACCCGCAGGCACTAACCTATAGTATCTCATGGAATTGTTTTTCATTTTTTTCAAAATTAGATTTTTAACCCATTTGCACCGTTTTACTTATTTACCAAAAATCCCAGTATCACTGAAACATTAAAAATAAAAAATTATACATTTTTATGATGATTTATAGTATTTTATAGCTAAAAATAATAATAAAATAAATATTTTATATTTTTTAATTTTGTATGTATATTTAGGATACGGTATATGTATTTAGGATTAGGATATGTTTATACTATTTTATATATTACTAAAAGAGGTGCATATACCTGCCTGGAAAAATATTAGTCTATTTTTTATTTTGTTTTATAGTATTTTATAGCTGAAAATATTATAAAACATATAATGTAGGCTATATAAAATTATGTATTTTAATTGTATATGTATATGTATTTATGACATGTTTTCACTATTTTTCATACTTTTCATAAAAATAGTTAAATAGCTCCCTATATTACGTAAATATGAAATCATTTAAAGAACATAATATTTTGATGAACAAATTTAAATATTATATGTATATATTTGTAAGTATAAATGGTTAATTTTTTGAAAAAACCAAATTTTCAAATTTCATGGGTGACATACCAGTGTCAGCCGTGATACTGTACATCACTGACTTGACGTACTAGTACGTCATCCGATGCAAATGGGTTAATAGTGATTTTCCCATAAAATAACAGAAAAATTGGATTTTCTATAAAATGGAAGATTTGGATAAGAATGATATTACTCTTTAATTAGCTAACAATCAAATAGATGACTACAGGGAGCAATAGCAAATATACAATTTTGAGTATTGTGTATGGTCATTGGTCTCACATAGACCTTTGGACCATTGCCTCTCATTGCATTGTGGGTGGGAGTATCAGATGAAATAAACACTTTCCAAGTGGACTTTGTCACTTGCTTGTTTCATAATCAACCTTTGGACTGCCAAGTTTCTTTTTGGAATTTGTATCTACTGTCTGTAAAGGAAGACAAGCACTTCTTTATCATTGATTTTGCATCACTTCCAATCATCACTGGATGAGGTCGTGAAAAAACCCGCGATGGTCGTGAAACTTTGGTCGTGAAATTACGTCTTATTTGGCTCTGTTCTGGCGGTAGCCCTGCACCTCATGTTCGAGGATACAAAGTGGACTTCTAGGTTAATCTAGCAATTGAAATATCTTATAAACAAAAATTAACACCATGTCTACTTCATCGAATGACTACGTACGGTCATGGACACACCAAAATTACAAAAAACACAATCTTTCCTTTATTAATCTTGTAATTCCTCCTTTCAACTCAAAACGACCGGCACTACAATCCTGACTTACACCCCGAACTAGTCTCTAAAACCAACTGACTCCATCGACGTCAGGCTTGCCACTGTCGTGCTCCAAAGTTGAAATTTTTTCCCAAATGGTCGTGATGCCAAATCGAGGGACAGACTTATTTTGTCATGGTAGTCAGTTTGCAATGACAATAAAATTATAATATGCTCCTTTTTTGTAAGTTTAATAACCATTGATGACATAAAAATATGGCTTTATATATTTCGGCATGAACAATTAGTCTAAAAACAGCGTGAAAGTTGGAAAATGTACCCTAGGGACACGTCATGGTCGTGAATTTCGAGACTTTAAAAATACGAAAAAAATACCTAGAACCTATTTAAAACCAAATAAATGTGTGTAACATGTTGCCCCCGTCTCAAAAAATATTAAAACACATAATAATAAGCTACAAATCCAGTATCTACTAAGTAAATGGCCAGGGACATGAAAACGTACGTTTTTAAATTTTCACTCATATATAGATCACTAGCAGAGTACCCGTCCTTCGTACGGGGTTAGCATATAAGTATAAAATGCTAATTACATTTTTGGGAGAGGACACGGTTTAAGAAAATTTGGTAGGTTGGAGCTCGTTCGCTGCGCTCACTTGCCTTCAGGTTTAGCTCATTCGCTAAGCTAACTCGCCTCCAGGTTGAAGTTCATTCGCTACGCTCTCTCACCCTTTGGTTGCAAATTAGCTGTTTTCATAAATAAAATAAAAAAATAGTGCTGCACCCTGTTGGTAAACCTATTAACTTTTTAATGCTATTGAACATCACATAATTAAACTGTTTAGTTGAACCAGCTGTTAAGATTCTTTAATTCCATTTAAATATTAGTACTCATAAGGTTAACATGGGGAACTATAGAGCCACTGGGGCAGAGCCCGAGAGGATTTTTTAGTTTAGAAAATGCCTAAATGTTAATTGGGAATGTGAGCTATCATCATGCCAAATTTCAGCCCAATCCGTCCCGTAGTTTATGCGTGATTGAGCAACACACATACCGGTACACACAAACTCACAAACTTTCAGATTTATAATATTAGTAAGACACTGTTCTGGTATCTGTACATAATGCATTTCAATATTTCATTATCGTAATTTTAAATGCACACTGCACGCAAACATTTAATTCATGTTGATATTGTTATTTCTAGCATATTTCCCATATACAGAGAATAAGCTATTATTTATATTCTAATTGGATTTTTTATTGAATAGTAAATAAGTAGTTTGAATATATAAATATACTATAATCATTTACGAGTGGTTTTTACTTATTAGGTTTGAATCTTTAGCTGATGACACTAACATGAGAAGAAGAATAAAATGTAATACATCATCAACTGTTGGCTTTTATCGCTTTCATTTTACATCCCATGGCAAATACATTTTAGCCTTGCATTTAATTAAATTTTGCATTGACAATATCACATTATTACATCAGAGAAAATCAAAACTAAGCGTTTCATGATAATTCTAATATGCTACTGTGTATTTATTTACAATTTCTTAAATTTCATTGATCTTTAGTCTATGCTGTATTTAACATTTCTCCTTGTATCACCTTGTTCTTTAAAAACCAGTTAAATCATCTTATTTACAATTACAGTACTTCATATATAACAGATAAATAGCTTTAAAAATAACAATTTAATATTCTTCTCTTTTGGAAATTGATTGGGCTTACTGTTGGTGTTTTCTTACACTTAATTAGAATTTTATTCTATATTTAACACAAATTATCTCAAACATTCAGCCATCATAAAAAGTTATCAGGAGAGTTCCTTGATGTATGCCTTGCAATCAAGAGGACCTGTCCTTGAACCAAGGTTTTGCATCTATACAACCATACCTTATTCTCTGGCCACTTTAATTTGCCGAGGGAAAACTTTCCCCATTTACTTAAATCCATATAATAATATACTAATAATGGTTGCACAGTTTCAGTTAATTAGAATACACTCTATACCACCTATACCATTACCGGTAGGCCCCTAAGCATTGTAATAATTATTAGTTGCTGGGGGTTTGCTTGGTTTAAGTGTTATGATGTTGATATTTTTGATACCAGTATTTCATATGATAATTTTACTTAACAAATATATATAGGCTATAGGAATTTAATTTAAATATCATAGTACGTACTATTATTTTAAGTCTCTAGTTATTTTATCTTTTTATTGTTAGGTACCTTTTCTACATAAATTTCACCTTCTAAGCTTTGCCCAAAAGACTTTTAAATTTGAACTGTTATTAACTGTTATTAATTGCCTTAATTGTTATTAATTGTAATAATTGTTATTCAAGTTAAATTGCCATTGAGTATCTCAAGTTACCATAATATAAACGTCTCAATTACAACATTGCTGAAAAAACCTGACATTGACAATAAAATATAGCACTGTTTCTACCTAAATCTTAGAATTTCAAAGGTTATAGTAATGAAAATACTATTAAATAACTGTCTGGTCAAAATAATGTATCAATTTTTTTTAATATATAGAAGTTTTCATCACTAGGAGCGATAAAAGTAGCTATTTTTGGTACGAAATTGTGTCCAACAAGCCTGGCGAAGCCGAGCTTGGAAATACGATTAAGTACCAAAAAAGATACTTTTGCTCTGTGTGATGAACAACTATTTTCATCATATTGTGAAAATAACCGTCTAATCATTACAAAATTAGACTACATACAGTATAATTTGAGGTTATACAAAGTCGTCATCAATGTTTACATTCTGTTGTTAACAAACATAACTTAAAATATTGTCTTATTAGAAGCGTATTCAAACAAATTTTGAGGTTAGCAAACCGAAAAATGTACCATATGTTTTTACTGTTCACTTGAAGTTACTCGAAAATGACGATTTTGCTGACGATTTGCAGAACTAAACCAAGTGTTTTCCGGACACTGTGATGAAAATTCACATTACAGCTGGGTACTTTACCTTTCTCATTTTAACCGAAGAAAGAAAAATGTTGAAAAACCATAAATCTTTCATTTTTAACATTGGAGAGACTTGGTTTCCCAATAATATGAATTTTCCAGATAAAGTATGTTTCCCAAAGTTATGCATCTCAATTAAGTAGGCCTAGGCAATGTCGGCTGTTTGCAAACTAATGATCTTTGTAAAATCAGATTGTCAGGAAATATCCTTGTTCCAGAACTATCCTCGTGGGCTATTTTAGAACAAAATCCAACATTTAAGCCTTGCCTCCGTTAGTTTGTGTGATAATCTGATAATTGTGTCTTTACCAATTGGGTTTATGTTTTTTAGACTTTTATTATTCCTCCTATTTTAATCTCAAATGTCAAAACAGTGCTTTATAAAATATCCCCTATGGTAACTCAGAATTAAATATTTCATATTTGTTTGTCTCAGAGCAGGAAAAGAGCAGCATTAACTGAAGTGGAAGGAGAGGGTGAGAACTCTAGCAGTGAGAGTGACGGAGGAAGCAAGAGGCAAAGGTTGGAACCAGATGATGGGGAAGATGAAAGAGAGAGGTAACATTAAATGTCCCTAATTAAGGGAATTTGGCTTAACCTCATTGAAATTATTTTACTAATATCACCATGGCTAGCTTGCAGGTAGATTCCTACCATGTGAGTGGCCACTTTGATGTCTTGGCTCTGCCACCCATGACTGACTCATTCCCTGTTTAACTCATACCAAGAAATGTTTGCAATATTTGCTGCAAGGCGATATAAAAGAACTTTGGCATCACATGTTTTACTTATGTTATAGACTACATACTTTGTAAGTTACTTACTTAGTATGGTTATGCAGTGCTCGATTAGCGGAGGAATGCGGCGGATCGGAGTTCCGCTACCTCTCTTTCAGAAAGATAAAAATAATGGCATAAAAATAAATGTACTTATCATTTTAAACAGTTACAGTTACAGCTCCAGTTACAGCGGGTTATGATTTTTCAACTTTTTACTCAATGAGTTGTGATAGTCCATATCTTTAGTTACTGTACCTATCTTCAAAATCTTTGCCATTTTCGCCCCTAACCCTGCCCTTTTAAGCTTGCACAGCCTTTTGGCTGGTCCTGAATGTCATTGAATTAGTAGGCCTACTTAATAGCAACTATCTGTTACCCACGGGTTTCACCCCGTTTGACTTCAAAGTAATAATGAAACTATTGATTGATTAAGTTAAGCTGAAATAAAAAAAAAAAAAAAAAAAACAGAATACCTTAATACAAACAAATAATCACACCAGGATTTTAGTAAAGTAATAAATTGAAAGAATAACAAACAAATAAGTACAGCTGAGGTATTTTTAAAATTAGGTATATGGAATGTTCCCTTAAGAAAGGAATTATGATCTTATAGGGCAATTTATGAAATAATGGATAGTTTTGCGCAAGGTTTCTCGTCATAAGGAACATTTTAAGTATATGGTTTATGAGGGTGTGAATTTAAGTCTTCTCAAAAGTACATGGGTACTTTGGGATTTATATATGGACTAGCTGTACCCGCGGGCTTTGCCCCGTTTAACTTCACAAGTGAGCTCGTTCGCATGGCTCAATCACGTCCTGGTTGAAGTTCGTTCGCTACGATCACTCACCTTTAGGTTGGAGCTCGTTTCTCTGCTCACTTGCCTTCAGGTTAGCTCGTTCACTACGCTAACTCGCTTCCAGGTTGAAGTTCGTTCGCAACGCTCACTCACCTTTTGGTTGCAAATTGGCTGTAGTCATAAAAAAAAATAAAAAAATAATAGTGCTGCACCCTGTTGGTAATCCTTGTAACTTTAATGCTATTGAACATCATAGAACAGAACCAACTTGTTTAATTGAAACCAGCTGTTAAGAAATTCCTTTTAAATATGAAAAATCATAAGGTTAACATGGGAAACTCCAGAACCCCCGGGGCGGAGCCCGAAAGCCCGATCAGAATAAAAACTACTTAGTTTTCCTATTTGATGCCCAAAGAATCGGTGTACCGAATTTCAGCCTCCTAGGTAAATGGGAAGTGGGAGAATTAGTGATGAGTGAGTGAGTGAGTGAGTCAGTCAGTCAGTGAGGGCTTTGCCTTTTATATATTTAGATATTTATAGAATTACAGGCATAAAAAAAATCATATGCTATTATCTATATAATTAATACGCTACATGAAACTTTGTCGGTTGAACTCCTCCGCCGTTTCTTAACCGATTTTATCCATTGACGTCTCATTGGAAAGAGCGTGTTGCGTAGATTTGCAAACTTGCCTTACATTTTTGAAAAAGTCCCTTGGGCTCTGCCCCAGTGGCTTTGAAAGTTCCCATGTTATCCTTATGAAGAACATAATTGTTTACATTTTGATCAGCTGTATAATTTAATTGCTGTTATTTATTTTTCAATCCAATGAAACGCATTGATTACATTTATTTACTATTTGAGTTTGTGTAAACATAACCCCTAAGCCGGATCGTGTTAGTATGGTTGTGGTTGTATCCACGAATAGGTTGTATCTAAAATTGGTGTATTTATCGTTGTTTTGTGTCGTTATGACGGATCGTGTTAGCATGATTCTAACTTAAATTTGTGCATTTATCGTTGTTTTGTGTACCTATAATTTGTTTATTTGTTGTTTTTTTTTCTTTTAAATGCCTCCGATGCGACGAAAACGAAACATAGACAGGAGGCGTAATCGTGATAACGAACGCAGCTACAGAACAGTGGCGCTTAATAGGCTTAACTCATCACAGTCAGCACCTGACCATGGACAATCTCAACTATTAGGTTACAAATGCGCATTAACACTACCCCAAAACGACTTTCGTTCTCAATTGGCCCTCTATCAATGTCCTGTGTTGCCTGTACAGCGAGGCATTTTGAGAAGGAGAAAACCGGCCGGAATGCTTTAGGTTTATCAATAACGAAGATAAATATGGTCTGAGTTACACACCAGTAATCTTTGAGTTGTCTCTTTTAAACTCATTGTAAATATGACTGTTATTCGTTTTGAAATAACTCCTGTAACACTTTGCAATTGCTCGAATTCGAGCAACATGTACACTAGTTTGAATGATTGCAGGACTGTAAAATATGTGTTACAGTATTTTGCATTGTATGTTCCCTATTCAACTATATGCAGATAAATTCAATACAAGTTTTGGTATGATTGTTAAGCACTTGCAAATTGAACAACTTTGTATGTATGTGTGGGTGTGTTTGTGTACAGGCTGGTGAGGGAGTATGTGGAGGAGTGTACTGAGAGTGTGGACGAGATGAATCGAGCAGCAGACAAGCTGCAGAGAGAGATTGGAGCCCTCGGAGAACTGCTGAGAGCCAAGGAGCTAGAGTGGAACAGGTACACTTTGAATCTCAAAACTGGAAACTGTAATTCACTTTACTCTTTCATATTCAGGCTAAAAAGTGCAACTATTTTGCTGCCTTATATAACAACTAACTAAATTTTGACATTGTTTTTATTTTAGTGTCTGCTGTCTGTCAATAAATTGGTTTATATGGAAGAAATACAGAATGTCTTGATGATAATATGACAGGAGGGAAACCAAAACATAGTGATCAGGGATTTGAAAAAGTCGAACCGGTACATCAATTTATCCTCCCAATATAGCAACAATCAACTCTTCTGGTTTGTCTACGGAAAGGAAAATTGTTCACTAGGAAATTAAATAACTTTATGGACGATGTTTTTCAGGTCAACAAGTAATATTTACAAGTAATTTTTTCAATTGTTCAATACTCATAACAGTGTCAGCCCTCTCAGAAAACCTTGCATTATATGCCCTATCAACCACATATCCAATCAATTTGTCAGCCCAAGTCAATACTTAGTGCACCTTCTCTGCAACAACTGTGTTTCAAATAAGGATGAGTAATGGACAGGGAGTTGCAATATATAGCAAGAGCATTCCCAGAAAATTACACAGAGAAGGCAATTAACTTACAGAAGGTCGCAGGAAAAGAGGATGTCGGGGTCCCTCTTCCAAAATCTTAATAAATCTCCTGTGATCGTAATGAACATATTCTGCGATCACGGCAGAATCATGAACAACTTCTGGAGGTGTGGGGTATCATCATCGTCTCCCTGAATGGCAGCAAAATCATGACTATTTCTCACAATTGCAACAAAATTGTTAAATTTAAAATTTTAGAAAATCTTTAGAGACACTTTCTTTGATCGGAAATTGAGCCACTTTCACACCTCTAATATAAATGACCGGACCAGAGCTTGACCAACCCGACTTCTCAAGCCAACAACCTGCTTCTATATAGTGCACAAAATAAAGATGAAGAGTATTCATCTTTTATAAATTGTATTTATGACAGACAGTGGCGGCGATAAGAGCCCGCGGGCCCCCCCGCAAGTTTGTTCACCGGGCCGCCTCCCAATAATCTTAAAAAATATTATATCACATGTATTACCGCCTAAACTTGCACTTTAGCTTGGTACAGCATCTCCCAAGGCGTCATCATCGTCTTCCATGATCGCGGCAATATGAATCTCCCGCCCCGCGACCCGTGGTGACGGGGAAATCATTTTTTTCCGAATCACGGCAAAATCCTAAATATATCTCGCTTGCAGAAAAATGTCAATAACGTCTTCCGGAATCCGGCAAAATATTGAACGTCTCCTGCAACCGCGGAGACATCGTCATCGTCACCCGCGGGGAAATGTTCTCGTCGATATCCACGATCGCGGCAAAAACGTAGGCCTAATCTTTCAATTTCCTGAGCGTGATCCTCGCGGACATAAAAGCTTTAATTTTAATTGGGCATTATTGTACTGAGAAAATCGGCTTGAGCTTGATTTTCTGACTTTGTGCTTGATCTCTCAAGCTTATATACAGGCTCTGCTCGGCTCGAAAATCGACATTATATAAAAATCAACAGTTTCCAAAGCAAACCGATTTTGAACCGCTCAGATTTGGCCCGAGGCCTATAAGTAAGTAAACTTTTTTACCTGACTCGAAGTAAACAAGTCTAAAGTGCGAAGTAAACAAATCTAAATTGCAGCCTTCTAATAGTAAGAAATTAAGTGAAACGAAAATCCTTCTTTAGCGTCAATGAAAGAATGGAATTATTAGCTAGTGCATCAGGCACCTAGGTTACTTCGCCGATTTGATCGTAAAAAATTGTCAAGTTCATTAAGTTAAATCAGCATTGAGGGCCCTCTCTGGTGTGCCCCACCGGGGCCTAGGAGGTTTAACATTAATGTTTTATTATCCTAGGCCGGGGACACATTGGTTCTAAATACGGCATACCGGCTACGGCGCTATTATAAATAGCACCTTCACGCAGCCCATGAGGACTGTTGATGCAGCCTGCATGACTGATGACAATTCTTTTACTTAAGTTGGTAGAGAATTTATATCGATCGGCCAAATAATAGTGTCAGTTAAGCTGTTGTAAACTACTTTTTCCTAGTGATCTTACTGGGCTTAACAAATTTTCGGCATAAAAAAACGTACGGTAATTTTTATATGAATATCGTTATGATAGTGGCCCCGTGTGGGTGAGCCTGTCACACAATTGCGGGCCCGTGTCCCGGTAAAATTTCCCGAAAAATCCCGGTCAGGGCTCACGGGCCTCCATAGCTCGCGGGCCCCCCCGCACCGCGGTCCCTGCGGGCCCGCTATCGCCGCCACTGATGACAGACCAGATGTTTTATTGAGTGACATCTCAAGCTTTGTTCCTGTAAAGGGGATTTATTTAATAACTGTAAATCTCAAAGGAACTTAACAGTTTTGCTTTTCCAACAGTAGTTTTAGAATAGGACTAAATTGATTAGCGCTGTGCCCAAATCAGCAAAAATTGATTCAGAACTTGCTATTTTCTAAAGGCGACTTAGGGATTTTTTGTCTGTGGACTACTTCAGTGTCTGAGACTTTGTTTATTAACTGGCAGTACCGTATCAATTACTATCATTCCAAGCAGTTTTATAATTTTGGTAATTATTATAGGTTTATTTCAGTCGTTGGTTGAAAAAATGTTAATTAATTGTATTCTAAGAGAGTATTTTAATTATTTATTTTGTAACTGAATTACCTTATGCATATATGTAAAAAAAATCAAAATAAATTTACTTATTTGTCATTATGAGGCTTAAATTTATTTATTAACAGTTTTATTTCAATTTCAGTATTTTGCGACTGAGAAAACTCAAAGAGGAGATGTTAGAAAGGCTGTTGCGTAGAAGGAGACTGGCCAGTGTGTTGTCAGAGAATGGAATAAGAGAAGAACAGCCTCCAAACAATGTGAGCAACAAAGTATGTGTTAACTACAAATAGTTTTGCATCATTTTAAGATATTACACCATTCATTGTACATGATATATAGCTAGGGTCTACATATTAAAAAAGCACTAGCTGTGGTCCCGTCCGTGGACGGCAATGTCAGGGGCGGCTCCAGAGGGCAGGCCAGGTAGGCTCTGGCCTACCCAAAATTTTGGTAGATATTTCAAAATTATAAAAAAATAAAGAAATTTAATTATATGTAAATGAAGGAAAGCATTCAAACTAATTATTTATCATTTAAATTTTCAAATTCCCTCATTTGCGGGGAAAGTTCCTCAAAACTCTCTTCCCCCGATCAAGCTCTTTCTTGATCCTTGTCAGACCTACCCAAAAAATTATTCCTGGAGCCGCCCTGAGCAATGTGTTCAGTTGAAATGGTTGTTGATTCAGAAAAGCGGGTTTTAAATATTTTAAATTGTTTACGCTATTGGCATTTCTTGAAGTTTTTTTGTAAAGGAACGGTCCAAACACTTGTATTGTTACTACAGTAGACCCCCTCTTAACCGACCCTAATGGGACCGGACCTACGTCGGATAACTCAAAAGGTCGGTTAAAACGGGCAATCAATAAAATCATAACATAATGAAATGTTATTCATTTGGAATTATATAATCAACATTTTGAAGTCATATTTGCATTAGTTATAAAATAAACTACTCTTATCTCCTTTTTCGTATTGATAGAAAAGTCACAAATAAACACAAAACACGGTTAAATCTAATAGGCCTACTTTCAGTGGAATATATTATAATACTAGGCAACAGTCAATAACATTCCTATCTTAATAACTTTAGTACTGTAATGTATTAACTGATGCTTTCTAAATCCATCGTAATACAGTCAAAACCTTTTGTCGAAATTAAAGATACAAGCAATCATTTTGTTACAAGGGACAGTGATGTTTATTTATAACCTCCCACTGTAGGCTCGAGCGAGGCACAAAAACTAGCTTGACCTTGGAGTTGTTAACCCCTCTTCCCTGCCCTCCCTACAAGTTGCGTTGTTTGTTTACTCCAGCAATAAGATAATCAGTTCTCAAAATCGTAACGCACTTTGTGGCGTTTTAAATTTGCCGCACAGATAACATATCAGATCAAATGTGCTCGAGCTACGATAACGAACGATGATGACAAACTGACAATAGGCTATGCTATATTTTTTGTAATCAACACAAAATAATTTATTCTTAGTCATATCCTGTGGAGATAAGCGTATGGTTCAGTTCTCATCGCCCAGCGTGGGAGCGGAAGTGCCGAGATTTCTAGAAAGCGGCGGTTAAAACGAGCTGCTCTCAAAGCAAGGTCGGTTAAAACAAACTGTATTATTTCACGATCGAAGGCGGATAATCCGATTATCGGTTAATACGAGGTCGGTTAAGAGGGGGTCTACTGTATCTAACGCCAACCTTTTGATAGATAGCGTAATTAATTTTTAGCTTAGTGACAAATAATACTTCTGGGCCTGGTAAGGATCTGGCTTGGAATCAAACCAGCGACTTTTAAATTTGAAGGCAAGCATTAATAACCTCTCAGCTACCCTGACAATTAAGTCAGAAGCTCTGAGAGCTGCAGAAAAAACCTTTACACAGTGGAACCTATATTGATGGTCATTGCAAATGCTAAGCTTACGTGAATTGGTATTTTCATTTTAAAAGTTTGTTTCCAACAGGCATATTTTTATCCTCGCTATCAAAATCTGTCCCCCCTCAGTTTTTCCAGTTAGGACCTTGTAACGACCCAAAACCCGCCAAGGGGTAAAAACCTGATTTTAGAAGTTTCATTTTAAGATATTACTTTTCTACGTTCAGGGTAAGCCGCGCCCGCGTTGTCACTGGAATCGTAGGGGCAGGCCGTCCTACGTCATCGTAGAGGGAAGGACGCTGGTTAGCTACCCCGCCACTAGGGGCGATGGCGATGAAGGGCCAGAAGAGCAGACCTGAGGATCAGTTGTCCACCCGCTACCGAACCATCAATACGCTTGCTGTTTGGAGATAAAACCAACAGTCTAACGTCTAACTTCTTATCTTTCTGGTCAGTTACAGGTTTCCCCCGTTCCTATCAGAGTTCTACAATGAGTCCCTACGACAGTTATATCGTCTTTTGTATATTTTTTGACAACAACCTTTACCTTCAACTGTTGTATTTCAGAATAATAATTTTAAACGAGTCCTTGGGAATTATTTTTGCGCCTTTGGACGTATCTTTTCCCAGTTATGTATGTACTGACGCCAGATGAGTCAGGGAAAAGGCCGCCGCACAAAAACAACGACCCGCCTACAACTACTACCGCTCCCGCCGTTACCACCATACCCGCCGTTACCGCCCTTTCCACTGTTACCACTACAACTGCCGTTACTACGTCAACACCTGTCACTACAGCACTACAGCGAATTACGCGACGGTGATCCAAGGAGCCGCGCTGGCCCTTCAGGCCATCAATCGCTAGACGGAGCCTCCATTTACAATGTCGTGCGCAAGTGGAACCTTCGTTTTGATGGTCGCAAAGACCCGGTGTCGTTCCTGGAACGCTTGGAGGAGTTAATGGAGGCATATTCCTTAACTCCAGACCAGGTCTTCAGGGCTCTAACGGAACTGTTGACCAGTAACGCCTTATTATGGTATCGTAATAACCGGGAAACGTGGGCCGATTTTCAGGATTTTCGTAACTATTTCGAAATTCAATATCGAAATTCACTCGGTTATCGCCGTAACTTGGACGAGGAGATACGTAAGCGGACTCAGAGTGACCAAGAGCCGTTTAGAGATTTTGTAGTCGCGTTAAGCATGCTAATTTGAAGGAGAGGGTCTATATCATCCCACGACAAAATCGATGTGATATACACGAATGTGCGTCCTGAATATAAACTTATGGTTCGATGCCAGGACTGCATGACTCTGACCGAACTTATCAAGCGTGCAGAGGAAATTTTAAGGTTATTTCCGGTTGATGATAACGATGTCCTTGTGATGGTGAAAGTCGTTGAAGATTTTTCCGCGATCCAAGTGACAATAATCATGTCCTCAAGATAACCGGGATGTTAAAGATTTTTCTGCGATTCCAGATGATGATAACCATGTCCCCGTGATGGAGAAAGACGCTGAGGATTTTGCCGAGATCGCGCATGATGTTAATCATGTGCCCGTGATAACAAAAGATGTTCACAAATCACGATTCAGATGCGATCAAAGGTGGCAATAACAATGTTTCTGTAATAGCGGGAGGTGTTCACAATTTTGCCATGGTCACAGGCAATTCTTTTCCATTTCTTTTCCCCTGCGATTCCTGGCTGGATCAGCCACTGATCATTAGATAAGAGAATCAAAGACTCAGCAATTATCAGCAAGTATCATCTCAACTAAACACGTAAGAGCGGCAAAAATTCTATTTTCTACATAATCAAGTCGTTTGCTGCTAAAAATCAAGAAAAAATCAAATTTCATTAATTTTTCAAACTTATTGAGGAATTTTATGTATTGAGAGCTGTATGTTTACGGTAATTTAATAACCAAATATTAAAGAATTTGTTTTATTTATCCTTATAAAAATTGTACCTAGGCCGGCCGCACACTGATCAGACAAAACATCTTTCGCCAAACGATTTGTCGAATGACATCAGAAGCGAGTGGCCTACCATGCAGTTAAATGGAGACATCACACACTGATGAGACGGAGGCTTCAGACACGTTGTTTTGTCTGAAGACGTTTTCGGGTGTTTTTGTGATCGCCTCCTATATTTCCTCTGAAGCCAAAACGCTGTCAGACTAACAGTTCTGCACATGCGCGGAGGGCATGATACAGTACAACTTATCTATACATTGTAATAATTTTTGTCACAGTTACCTAAGTAGTTCATTTTTAATTCATGCAGAAAATAATAAAACGTTATTTTAATTTCAAATATTTCAACTTATCTATATCTATATAATTAATATGCTACATGAAAATTTGTCGTTTGAACTCCTCCGCCATTTCTTAACAGATTTTATCCGTTGACGTCTCATTGGAAAGAGCGTGTCGTGTAGATTTGCAAACTGGCCTTACATTTTTGAAAAAGTCCCTTGGGCTCTGCCCCAGTGGCTTTGAAAGTTCCCATGTTATCCTTATGAAGAACATAATTGTTTACATTTTGATCAGCTGTATAATTTAATTGCTGTTATTTATTTTTCAATTCAATGAAACACATTGGGTACATTTACTGATTTTGTTGAAACTAAATATTTACTATTTTAATTTACATTCGTACATATTACAATGTAAAAAATCGAGAAAGCCTGGGACAATTTGATATATTTTACCAAATAAGGAAAATGAATTGACATAGTACTGTATTTCTTGAGAAATCATTGAAAGGACCGATTTGTTAACCATGGAAACATAGCAAAGTCATAGAACGCCACAAAGTAGAAGAAATAGAGATTTAAAAACAATTTACTATCGTTATCAACCTATATAAAGAAGAACACCTACAGCTACAATATGAAGATTCCCACAAACAATGAACAAGGATGTTAGCCAAAGTGCTACTTTTTTGTAGGAAACATGGACTTAACTTTATGATGATTGGCAAAGGAAACCCCTCTAAGTCTGAATTAAACTGGTATGGGAAGGACATTAATCATTAAATATATGTTTTCATAAAAGTCAAGTGATTTTAAAAGAATGTGACTACATCCAAGAAACCTTAATAAAACTTTCATTGAAGGATTCCCATTTTTTCACATTATTATTCACATTTAAGGGAAACAAAAAACCATCTGGACGACATTAGGCCTTTCAATTCTGCATTTTTTCAGGTAAATATAATTTACGATATAACGGTAACCATCCAAATGAATGCCAATTGATGAAAATAAATTGCGACAGAGAAGTTATGCAGAAAATCAGGTAGTTCTTAGTCATGTAAACAATATATGTTATAGCTATAACAAATTGACTGAAATTTGTAAACTTTATCGACAATGGGTGGTACCACGCAGTACGCAGACTACATTATCATTGACAAAGATCAACATGGACAACCTAATACGGCTATAAGTTGGAAACATTTAAAAACCCAGATCAGCTGTTGAAAAATTATAAAATATTTACAAGAAATGTTGATTATATGGAACTGTTAGGTACGTAATCTATGAGTTGAGTCTTTTAAACTCATCGGAAGTTATGATGACAATTATTTGTTTTTAAATAACTACTTTACTTCTTCGTAATTGCTCGATTCTGAGCATCGTGTACACTAGTATTGTAATAATTTTTCTTACAGTTAGTAGTTGTTTTTTTTTTATTTATGCAGAAAATAATAAAAATATTATTTCGATTTCAAATATTTCAGCTTATTCCATATATTGTAATAATTTTCTTTACAGTTAGTAGTCGTTCATTTTAGATTTATGCAGAAAATACAGAAAATGTATGCTCCCTTCCTTCGTTTAATTCTGCAAGTTGTATACAGTTCCACAACATATTGCTACGCCCACTTCCTCATCCATTTTATTCACACCACACAATCTCTGGCTTTTCACAATACTGGTCTACGGGTGACTGAATTTAGTTTTCCCTCCGGTTTGTGTCTTTTGTCTGAGACCACCGCACACCAATGCGACATTTAGCATTAACAAGTTATAAGGTTTACCAACAGGGTGCAGTACTATTAAATTTAATATAAAACTTCATTATAGAATATATTTTTTAATTTATGTCAATGGATACTAAAGTGCAGCCAAGCGTTAGTGGATGTGTAACTTTTTTTTATACAACAAATGTAAAGATCAAATTAAAATGTTTCTATTTTGTGTCCTCTTCCCGTTGCAAAGCACGGGTACAGCAGCAAGTATGCTATAAGTATGAAATACAATTTTAAAACTTTTCATGGCATTTTCTTGGATGAGGAGGTTATGTAATTATTTTAGTGATATCTATTGACCATGGTTGATCCGCCCCCGGTAAATCGAGGTTCTACTACAGTGCTTTTCTCTTTTAAATTCTTTACTGTATCTATAATAGAAAATTTTTAAAAGTTGTCTACTCAATTGGTGCTGGTGGCCCTTTTATAAGATAACTTCAATAATTCGGAGGGGGTCCGGTCCTAATTAATCCTAATTATTGACATTCTACTGTACATGAATCTTTTCCCCTATTTGGTATTTTTGTCTTCATTGCCTGGACTATAGTTTAATGTAGCCTATAATTGATTTTAAACTTGCTGAGGACTATTTTTTAAAGCACATTTCGATAATCAGTCTAAACTATCGTGGTGCTGTCTACGAATTGACAGGCAGAGCTCTCTCAAAGTACTTAATGCTTTTTACCATGCGGTTAGCATTCTGGGTTATAGTAGTATGTTTTCTGTGACTAAACTTAACCAATATTTTTCAGCCGAAAGTCATTAACATCAACAACACTCATCAACCACCGAGTTCGTCAGGTAACACAAACAACGGGAGTTTGATGATGGTTCCAATAGTGTCGTCAGGTCCAGGACCCTACGGACGGGGTCCCCCCCGCCTGCCAGAGCCCCGCAGCATGGCCCCGCGACCTCAGCAGCGACCCATCCTGCCCAAACCGGGACCTCAGGAACCTATCGTTGGAGAAGGAAGGCAAGGGCCAATCCTTGATGTTAAATCCATCATCGCGGACTATAGGTACATACCGTCCTAACCTACCCAATACACACTAGCCGTTCTTTAGTATAAAAACATTTAACTTTTTTTTAAAGTTACTTCCCCTTTTGTTTTTGAAATTTTCAGTTTTATGTCTAAACAAATTTTAACGGGTGGTTAGGACATTTTTTTGCAAAGAATAAAAATATAATTTTTAACAAAATTGAAATATTAAGTAAATTTATAAAATTTATTCTTCCATTTCTTGACCTTGAAGAAATCCCCTTTCACCAATGAAATTCTCTACTACTCTTACAAAATGTTCCATGATTGTCAAATCATGTGTAGTTATTTTCTTTTGGATAAATCAGATTCCTTTGTGATAATCTAAATGTTGTTAAACTACAAAAGCATAGCCTACAGTCAAAATGCTGTGTCCAATGATGTGTGTTGACGGTTTTGTATTCTGTCCATACATTCAGATAAACGAAGATATATTTTTTTTTACAGTGTAATAATGTCTACAGCTTTAAGTTGGAAAAATAATATTTTATTGTGCAATCCACCACACTATAATGCTTTTGGAATCTTCCTGTGAAAATTATAAGGGTGTTAAAAAATAAATAGGTACTTTTTAAAAAGTATTATGCCTTGTAACAATTCTTTAAAAAATAAACAAATCTTGCCATTATATTAGGACCAATCTTCTAAAAGTTGCAGAGCATTTAATCTTCTGTTAGGGACACCTTATTTATTTTACAAGTTGCTAAACAATTACAGGCAATATTTAAAATTTGTATTTAAATCTTAACTTGCTAGCATTTAGTGAAAATGAAAACTAGGTGATTTATTTTAAATAAAATGTTTTCACATTTTTAAATGCGGTCGTTCAGAAAAATTATTCTCACAAGGATAACAATAACCTGTGAGTTGGATAGTTGAGTGTTGGATTTATCATCTCTTGAGTTAAGATAGTTTTCTTATGTTTGTGTTTTACCTTCTAAACAATATTGTGTGTAATCATTTCAATACTTTGTAGTAACACAAAACATTGGCAAGGTTGGATTTGGCAACTGTTTGGATTAACATTAAATTTAATTTCTGTACTGATTTTTAATTTGTATTGAAAAATATGCATGTTCCAAGACGTAAAATATACAAAATATCCTTTGAATAATAGATTTGTAATGTCTTTTATCAAGTAATAGCATTTAATTTTGAATACTGAAGTAGACGTCCCATTTACATGGACCAGCTGTAGCAATTTTTTTTAAATAACAGTTGAATGAGCCACTCATAGAGGAAGCTACAGTCAAAAATTCTATTTACTGCCTTAGTTTTTATTACTGATAAGAGTTAGTGGATGTTACATATTAACAGATGCTATAGCTTACAATAATTTGCCCTATCAGTATGGTGGCTATGGCTCAACTCAATTACTACAGGCTGATTTTGATTTTAAAGACCACCACTACTTTATCGTTGGAATGGAAAGTCTAGTTCTATCAATTGTTAAAGCTAATAGTTTTAACAAGTCTTAGTTTACATTTTCCACGGCTCAAGGCCGGGCGTATGCTGAGGGAGACTCAGGTGATTCAACGCACGCAAGCCAATTTCAGCAGCGTAAGCTACGCTTCACACGAATGTTTGATTAGCGCATATTGAGGCTCAGTCATCAAGATCAGCGATAGTATTAACTCCTCTGAGTCCGATATGGGATTGGATTTTTCCCCTATTTAAATTACATTAATTTTAACGTATTTTTAGTGAATTCAAACAACAGTTAAAAATAATGTGTGAGTTTCACATGTTCAGTTTTTTTTTATGTTTACTGTGGTTATTAAGTTTACTATAAAGCTTCGTTATGCTGAACAGTCTAGATTTTAAAACTCTAAATCTAGTTTTAAGAAATGTTGCTTTATGTTATTTGGGACAAAAAATGGGAAAAACAATGATTTTTTATCATAAAACTCCTTTCCGATAGTCAAATCATGCCATTTTGCATCTTCTTGGTTAACATCACACGATAATTCGCATGCACACACTCAATCAGTCACTCGTTCTTTGCCATCTTGACCACAAGATGCGAGGTGTGTTTGCAAAAATCTATATTTGTGCTACAAAGTTTGACATGCCGGCTCTTGTGTGCACTTTAGACATACAAACGTGTGTCTCAGCTTACGCTGCGCCATAAGGAAACATGACCGCACAGTTTTCTGCCGTGTGCTGCGCCAGGCGCCTCTCAGGATACGCCTGACCTAAGAGAATACCTATCAAGTTTTGAATTCAAGTAAAATATTTTTTATAAAAAATATTTTATTTCCAACTTTTTTAACTGAATTAACAATAGGAGGGGGGAACCTAAAAGAGTGTGTACCACAGAATTTCGTACAAAGTAGCTACTCAAATTAAAAAATAATTGGAAACAGTACAAGTTTCCAATTGTAATTTATCATCCAAGATTTAATTTTTTTACGTGTGAATGTAGGCCTACCCTTAAATCGCCTATATGATTGTAACTGTGTCTGTTGACAGGTCTCGACACCCAGAGAACGTGCCCCGCCGAGGTCGTAGGATGCGGGGGCCGGAGGGGGGCTCAGGTCCCCCCCCTGCTGTCAACACCAGGATATCTGGTAGCCCAGCCCTAATGAGCATGGCTAACATGGCCCTCGGCTCCGGCTCCCATGTCAGGGAGAACCCTCCTTTCATGGGTCAGTGTTTGAAATGTAGTCACTATATGCATTAGATGTTGAGGTTATTTACTTGAAGGATCAAAATCTATCTAATGATTTTTAGTCAATTAATAGCTAAACTTGATAATTTGGGTATTAAAGGAGTCACTCTCAAATGGTTTAAATCATACTTAGAGGAACGTTACCAATTTGTGGAAATATCAACTTTGTCAAAAAATAACATCATCCAAAAAACAAGATCTAATTATCAAAGATATCATCTGGTGTCCCACAGGGATCGATTCTTGGTCCCTTTTATTCATATGTTACCTTAAAAATCTTCCAAATTCTCTAAAAGACCCAGGTAGTAAGATAAGTATATATGCAGATGATATTAATCTTAACACAACTGGGAAATCCCTAACTGATTTAGAAATGTCTGCTAAATCAGAATTAAAAAGTCTGAATCAGTTTTTAAAAGACCATAATTTAGTACTTAATACTAGTAAAACTAATTTCATTCTTTTCAAAACAAAAAAAGACAAAAATGATAAAAGTATAGAGTTAGATATAGATACAAATTCCATTGCTAAAGTTAAAACCTCAAAACTATTGGGTTTGATAATAGATGAGGATTTAAGCTGGAATAAACATGTTGAGTATTTAATAAAAAAACTAAATTCTGGTATATTCGTCCTAAGAACAATGTCATATCTCTGTGAAGGATCAGTCCTTAAAATGATATATCATGCTCATATTGAATCACATATTAACTATGGAATTAGTATTTATGGTGGGACAAAGAAAAAGAATTTAAAAAGATTTTGAAAATACAAAAAAAAGCTATCAGGATAATACATAAATTAAAATATAACCAGTCCGTCAAATCTTATTTTAAAGGGATGGGCATGTTTACAGTTCAGGCCTTATATATTTTTGAAACAATTAAATATTTTTTAAATATTGCTGAGACTCAAGAATTGCCTGTGCATAATTATAATACAAGGGGTAAAAATTATTTAGCTAAAGAAAAACCAAGACTTGAACTTTTAAAAAAATAAACCTTCTTATATTGGAAACTATTTTTTTAGAAAACTTTCTTGCTTTTTAAAAAAAGAAAAAGGCAAATCTAAATTTATGAAAAAACTGAAGGCATTCTTACTTGACCTTGCACCTTACAAAATAGAAGATTATAGTAATTTCAATTTAAAATAATGTAGCCTATAGTATTTTGTTTAAATGTTTCTTATTGCTAATTTAGGTAGTAAGTAACAAAAGACACTATTCATGTACGAAAATTTGTACTGTGTTAATAAAGACATCTTGAATCTTGAGTCTCGAGCTGTCTTAACACGTTCGCTGCTACGGACGTTCCGGAACGTCAGCCGGGCCAAGGCGCCAGGAGCTAGGAACGTTCCGGAACGTCACCGTTCATTGTTGTCTAACGTTTCCTTGGAACAGCCAGCATGTCACGAGGGTCCTATATTTCTTTGCAGCTCGAGGGGACGTACTTTTCTGACAATAAAAAATATAGTTTCCCAAAATCACCACCAGGGTCATTTGGAACATGGCTTTGTACCACCTCTTTCCTGGTAGATAGCGACACTACTTTACCAACTGCAACCTGGGTACTGCTGCTATCTATCAGAATCACTTAATACTATGTCCAAAGCTATTTATTTATTTATTGTGTATACCTCATCATGTGACCACAGCTTATATCAGGGCTTTTGTTGTTACCGCTTGTCGTCTGTGGAACCCATTAAGACACTTGAAAAACGTTCCCAGTTTGTGGCGGCACTGAAAAAAATCTATTTTGAGAAGATGGCCTCGGCTGGCGTGTCCTAGGGCTACTGTTGTTTTGCGTGTTTGCTGATGCGTTTATGGGAGAGTGTGTAAATGTGTTTTTTTATTTTTATTTTTTGTTAAATTTGTATGTTTTTTCTTTTTTTCTGAGAAATGTAGGTTCTTGAATTGTTAAATATTTTTATGTTTAATTAGATTAAGTTATCCCAATGTAACATAATTTTTGTTATATTTTTGAATGTCAGGTTAAGTGTAAGAAAGGGGCCATGTGGCCCTAACTTTGCCTGAAAAAATAAACGATTTTCATTTCATTTCAAAGCCCGTTTTATTGCAGAACATTGGCATCCAGTATAACTACTGTTGTTTTTACTGTAATTCAGTGTATCGGCGGCAATGTTACGCAGCGGCGAGCGTTAGTTCAGCTCCTGGCGCCGTCCCGGCATCTAGCGGTCATCAGCGAACGTGTTAAAATAAAATAAAAATATTCATAACTAAATACATACAATTTTGTTGAATACCTTCAATTTGTTGTAAGAGTATATATCCATGTAAAATGTTTAATAACTTAAAACTTTTAAACAATTTCAGGTTTTGCTGCTGTTAACACTTGGTTCAGTTGTAACAATCTTCAAACAAATTTTATATGCTTGGGAAAACAATCCAACCCTTTATTTAATATTATATTTATTAACTAAAAAGTAGACTTTACCTTCGTCAAGCAGCTCAAATCTTGTAACTATTGGTTACGGCCGTTTCAGTAACACAATGCCATCCATCATCAGACACAAATCTCGGCTAAAGTAGCGAAGTTGAAGTTAGATAACACACACAAATATTTACAATACCAATATAGTTTACAAATACGAATAGGCTTGTCGCACAAATGGTACTGGTTGACATTTTCATTTTCCAAGCAAGACTGGAGGATTCTATAACCAATAGTTACAACATTTGAGCTGTTTGACGAAGGTAAAGCCTATTTTTTAGTTAAGGTGCAGCTCAGGGGCTAAAATAATGGATTTAAAAAGATTTATTAAATGCATCACATATGGTTTAGTATTATTAACATAAAGTGTGATGGCTGTTGGGCAGGTCAGGATAGTTCGAGGCCGTCGAGTGCAGACTCCTCACGTGGTAGCCATCACTTAGACATGCTCTCAGGCCCAGGCTCTGGTGGCTTGAGTTTTAAAGATGCTCTTGTCCAATTTGCCAAAATGTCCCAACCCAACAAGCCACCACCTCCTCCCCCTCCCTACCCCGAGGTGACACTTCACCCTGTCTCTGCTCCTCACTCACCTCCGGCCCCACCTCCACACTCCTCTCTATTGCATGGTATACTGACCAAGTCCAACCCGGGTCCCAGAGCTACCACTTTCTCACCCACCCTTGCCCGTCTACTCACTGCCCCTGAGAGGAACCCCACTTCTGCTCCCTTACCTCCAACACCTACCTTCCGACCACCGCACCATCACGTGCCCCCCCACCAACGCGGAGTCAACATTTCAGAAATACTCTCCTCATCCAAGGTAACTTTATTTGTTTTGTTATTAGGAAAAAGTGATTAGTTTTAGGTGACGTTTTATTATTTTAAGATGTCTGCTTCATAGCACAAAGGTTACTATATGTTAAGATGTTTTTAAACCTGTACATATATTTTAAAATAATTGTCCAAGATTTCAAATGACAGACTTGGCTTCTCCTTAGATGTTCATTGGTTTGTATGTGACATAGTATGTACATTTTTCATTTTATTCTCTTGTGCATTTTTCTCATAACTCTCAGTATTCTTATAATCACCCAAGGCTCCAAGATCTCATTGTACAGAAAGTCTCTTAAGCTTTGTGCTCACATGAAGATTTGTTTGCTGAGTGTTTTTTATTTTATTTTATTTATTTTTTGTTGAAAAAAGAGGTTGGCGGCCTCTTTTAACCTTGCATTTGCCCGTCCACATAGACTACAGATCTGTGCGTGGAACGTATCTAGCAAAGCAAGGGGTGAGCCGGTACAGTACGAAGGTGAACTGTACTGATAAATGTTTGCGGCAGTGACCAGGATCCGAACCCACGACATCGCTGCTTTGGGCACGAAGTCTGTGACGTTACCAACTGAGCCACCGACTCACCAAATGTTTCTAATTTTTTGCGGAAAGATTTTGCAACAAACGAAAAAAACTATTCTATACTGCAATTCGATGTTTGCAAAAAGTTTGAAAACAATTGACAAACAAATCTTCACTCAAATGTTCAAGTAGCAACATGCAGGCAGTAGTTGTGATGAGTTATGAGTGTGAACCACTGAACTAGTTATTATACTTGAAGTATTACTACCGTAAAACCCTGGTTAACCGAATTTGGTTTAACCGAAACTGTTCCATAATATACAGTAGAACCCTGGTTAACCGTAATAAAGGGGGGAGAGCCGTTTTGGATAACCAATTTTTTTTTTTTGTTTAACCTGTCATATGCTAAAAATAGCCTATATACCACGGTGAGTTAGAAAATAAATTTAAAACAATATCTATATAATACAATACAATATTTTATTTTAGCTACAGAAATGTTACAATGGGTTATAAAATACTTTAAACTAAACAACGGAAGTTACTAAAGCGTTGTTATTACTTATATTTTAGCCCTGTATTATTTTATGGAACCGTTTTGGTTAACCGGGGTTCTACTGTACTGTAATACAGGACTAAAATATAAGTAATACGTAATGTAAAAGGCTTTAGTAACTTCAGTTGTTTTGCTTTAAGTGTTTTCTAACCCATTGTAACATTTATTTAGCTGAAATAAAACACTGTATTATAAAGATATTGTTTTAAATTCATTTTTCCAACTCACCATGGCAGTACATATGCTATTTTTAGCATTTGACGGGTTAACCGAAAAATTGGTCATCCGAAACAGCTCTCCCCCCTTTATTTCGGTTAACTGGGGTTCTACTGTAGTTTAGAGTTTGACTACTTCAAACCAGCCTTTGGTAAAGAGTTAGCTAGAGTTGTACTTATCCAGAGATTAAAACACTTCATTGAGTTTCAGTTCTTCCAACAGCTCTCTGCTAATGAATTCAGTTGAAGCCCTTGTAATATTCAAGTAAAACTACAAGCTCAAATTGTTTAACGTCAAGTAAAATAAATTGTTTGCAGTAAGCAACAATCAATATGATTTAACAAATAATGTTAATGTGGTTGGGTTTTACTCTTATTCACTTTAGCTTCATGCCACTACAAAATGGTGGCCATTAGCACAAAATCTCCTCGAGAAGTGCTATCCCCAGATATGCCTATTCATTATAGCTCAGTGATAAGAACCGAGAGTGGGGAGGATTCTATTAGCATACAATTTAAAATCTATTCTCTTGCTTGCAGCCCTCTTGTACCCCTGGGCCCTTTTATAAAAACGGTCCTTAGTGACAATAGTGATTAAAACATGTTTTTCTATTGCAGAAAAATCGAAATGAAATCACCATCACCCCTGTTTCGGGATCAAATAAAACCAAAGATGATGTTGTCATGCTGGTGAGTTAGAGGTTAATTTTTTCAATACTAAAAAGAACATATCTTCGTTTAATAAGGGTTTTAATATAAGGAATATTAACTAATTTCCTATAGGGAATAATCTATTACCGTAGGTCTCATGGTAAGATAAACCCAGGACCGATTATTCTTTTTGTTTTGACGTCCCCATAGGCCAAAAACACCATCCGTTCTAATTCTTATATTAAATAAATAAATATATATATATGCTTTATATACAGTGTGTCCAGCTTCAACTACGACAAACTTTACCAGATTATTTGGGAGGTCAAAACAAGCAAAAAATGTGATACCGGTACAACATGTGTCCTATCTCAAACCGTTTAATGCCGGCGCGCACTATCCGACCACAACCACGACCAAACGCCCAACCAGTCGTTGTCGTTCACCATGCGACCAGAGCACGACAAGATGGATGTTGAAGAAGTAGTTGATGTGTTGCATTTGTATCGTAGGTACGTTAAGTGGAAGAAGAAACGATACTGGGTACATCCATTGTTAACTGTCAGGTCTACAAAAGGGCAGTTTGCAACATTTTATGAAGAGCTACGTCAATATGAAGACAGGCGGTTTTTAATTACACAAGAATGTCTGTTAAAAGCGTTGATGACTTACATAGAAAAGTTGCTGGTGAAATCAGGAGACAAGACACTTCTTTGAGACAGTGTATAGGAAGTGAAGAAAAACGGTGTATAGGAGTGGTGTACTGGTCGGGTTGGAGGCAAGTCGGGGGTAGTGCGCGTCATCCCATTACATTGTGTGCTATTTTTGGCTGCAACAGCCAGCGGGTCGGGCCCGAACAAACTGCAAAGACATTGGTCGTGCCACCAGGGTCCGACCAGTCAGCCTGTTCGATTTACGCCTATTATAAAACTGGCCGTATCCGACCAGTCAGAGTCGTGATCGTGGTCGTGGTCGGGATAGTGCCCTTAGCGTCTGATATAACTGGGAGACTCAAACTTTGCTCGGATTAAATAAATAATACATTTTTATAAATACATGAGGGGTCCCGTGCGCAAATTGCACATTTTTATAGTGTTTGATTCTTAGGCAAAATGAATAATGCAATATGGCAACCTTTTACTTTTAAAATATTATATTTTGTTTGAGACAAGTTTAAGTTACTAAAACTCTTATATACAATAAATTAAATTTATTGCTTTTATATATACGACATGAAAGCCTGGTTTACACAGGTCGATTATGTCAGACGAGTTACTAGGCCCAGTTGTTGATTTGTTCAACTCCCCGCTACTTGACTAGACTGTCCACACGCATCCCTATTTCAAACAGGGATAGTGTAGGCACAGAGAAGTAATTTTAGCGAATTTCCCATATAGGGAATAAGCTATTACCGTAGTACTCATGTTAAGACCTGGACCCGGGACCGATTTACTTTTTCGTTTTGAGGTCCCTAGAGGCCAAAAACACCATCCGTTCAAATTCATATATATATATTTATATATGTGTCCGTTAGCGCGATAACTCGAACAAAACTCATCCGATTTTGATGAAATTTGGTACAAACGTGTAAACCTACGTTTATTCGAACGAGTTCGCGAACCAGCATGATCGGACTATGGGAACAGGTGATTATGGAGGGTTATGTGGGGTAAAAATTGTTTTTTCCCATTTTTAACCCTAAAAATTTAAAATTTAACATTTTCTTTCCAAACCATTTTGTAGAGCTTAAAAAAACAAATAATTTAGTATATTGAAGCGTTATTATGCGCCTAATGGTTACGGAGAAAATTCCAAAAAAATGTAAATTTAAAATTCCCATGTTATTCTTATGGAGAATAAGTAAACTGTTGTACTTTGCTTGTTTATGAACATATTTTGATCAAATTTGGAAAATGCATTCATTTCATTCTAAAGTATAAAAACTTTACAAAAAAAAACACATTTTTACCCTCTCCTGTTGCAGCAAACCTAAGTACTCGTTAAATTAATGTTATTTAAATAATGAATAAATGTGATATTTTTAAGGAGACATTTTTGTGTAAATCCAATCAAGCAAATGGAAATTCACTTAGTCTGCAGGTTTGCTGCGGTGGGGGTATTTATTATTTCCCTGTGGTGTAGGGTATTCCATATACTGTAGCTTTTGTGTTAAATGTTGTTTGAGTTTAAAATGGCACTTGAAGAGTTTAATGCTGAATTTTTATAACTTAATTAAATCACTGAATTAGATTATTAGAATTAAAACTGAATCACCACTTAAATTCAAAAGTTGCTTAAAAGCTTTTTTGCAAATAACTTTTAAATGGTGAGAAAATTGACCAATGTGGAAGGTATTATTCTGAAAGAGAATAAGATTTGTTACAAATTACTATACAGTAGAGTCCCGCAAACTCGGCGTAATGTGGACTGGAAGGGTGCCGAGTTTGTGAAATGCCGGGCTATCGGGAACTAGGGTTAAAAATAAGAACAATACAATTGTTAAGCTTTTTAACCGCCTTTTTCATTTATATTTATATTACAGGGAATTCATAACTAGCTGTTACCCACGGGCTTCACCCCATTTGACTTCATAAGTATTAATAAAATTATTGATTGGTTAAGTTAAGCTGAAATAAACAAAACAGGATACAGTAATTTTGTTTATTTCAGCTTAACCTAACCAATCAATTGTTTTATTAATACTTATGAAGTCAAACGGGGTGAAGCCCGTGGGTAACAACTAAGAGTATAGACACAGATACCCCACGAGAAAGGGAATACATCTAGCTGTAACCTGAGGGCTTTGCCCCGATTAACTTCTTAATTTTCAAGATGATCTTGTTCGCATGGCTCAATCACGTCCTGGTTGAAGTTCGTTCACTACGCTCACTCACCTTTAGGTTGGAGCTCGTTCGCTACGCTCACTCACCTTTAGGTTGGAGCTCGTTCGCTGCGCTCACTTGCCTTCAGGTTAGCTCGTTCGCTACGCTAACTCGCCTCCAGGTTGAAGTTCGTTCGCTACGCTCACTCACCTTTTGGTTGCAAATTAGCTGTAGTCATAAATGTAAAAGAAATAATAGTGCTGCACCCTGTTGGTAATCCTTGTAACTTTAATGCTATTGAACTTCATATAACAGAACCAACTTGTTCAATTGAAACAGCTGTTAAGATTCATTAATTCCATTTCTCATAAGGTTAACATGGGAAACTCCAGAGCCGCTGGGGCGAAGCCCAGAGGTCGGAGGGTAAAATCCTTTCTTAGTGAGCGTCTACTACCCAAAAGGAAGATGCCTGCCAAGTTTCAGGTTCCTAGGTCTTATGGTTTCTGAGATTTCGTGATGAGTGAGTGAATGAATGAATGAATGAGTCAGTGGTATTTGAGCTTTATATATATATAGATTACAAGTCAGTATTAAGTCATCAGATATAGTACAACGAGTACTTAGTACGATTTGCGAATAATTTGACTTAAGCTGGCTTGAGTCCATGATTAACGTGGACTCGAAAAATCACTAATTTTCTGAGCCAGGTTATGGCCGAGTTATTCAGACTGCCGGGTTATCGAGTGCCGAGTTTGCGGGACTCTAATGTACGGTACCTCATTTCTTTAAAATAGTATATTGTGACAGGTTGCCGAATGAAACTACAAACTACTTATTAACAAATTTATAATCATAAAGTACTAGCTTATGAGAAAATACAATTCCAAATTAGGTTAAGTTATAGGTTTACAATGCCAAGATGAAGATTGTCATGATTAATTCCAATTTAGAAAAGAGGGGAAACATAGCCTCCCGAGGAGTGCTCTCCGTCTGTAGCCAAGTTGGCCGTGGAGAGGCAGCAGCCAATCAACGTTGCGGCTATGCCGCTTGACGCCAGTTCAACGCTGGACAGTGCTGCAGCCTAACGATCACTCGGGGCGTTAGACAAACTGTAGTTGCACAGTTACTGGGTTCAGCGAGGAATTTGCTGAGCAGAGCTCAGCGAATTCCAGTCATGCGCGTTATAATTCTGGGAACATTGGCCTGGCGCCTGGCGTCGAGTCATGGCTGATGGGAATATTCCATGGTGAGGCAACTGGCTGACGCAGGCATTGGGAGGTTAAAACAGTTCAATATTACAGACCCTCCTTTTATATTTGAAATAAAGGATTGACAGTGTCGGATTTAGGGTACCTGCGGCCCTAGGCCCAATTACTCGAGCAGCCCCCACCCCTGTCTTGGAAATTCCACACAATCGCGGGAAAAAAATCGTAAACGTCGTTAACTGTAAGATGTAAGATTAACTGTAAGAAAACCTGAACATTGAGGTCCTAAGTTTGCCTCAATGAAGAAGGATTTTAATTTCAATTTAATGTCTACTGTGGACCACAACCACGGGAACATTATCACCGTCACCAGCGACCATGGCAAAATCGTGAACCTTTCTCCGTGGGCCGCAATCACAGGGACAACGTAATCAACAAATGGGACCACGGCAAAATTGTGAACTCCCATGGCCGCGGTCATGAGGACATCATCATCGTCTCCTGCGACTGGGTCAAAATCGTAATTATCTCCTGTGAGCCGCAATCACGGGGACATAATCTTCGACACCCACGACCGCGATAAAATTTTGAATTCTTTTGTGGGCCGCGATCATGAGGACATTATCATCGTCACTTACAATCACATCAAATTGAAAATTTTTTGTCAATCCTTTGCGGCCCCCTTTTGTTTGCGTTCCTACACCTTGGCGTAGTCGGCCTAGTGGTAAATCCGGCTATGGTAAGGTGTCGTTGGATAGGTGGAGGCACATAGATTTGCCATCAAACAAAACCTTTTTTGAAATTCCTTTAGGGTTCTGCCCCAGTGACCTTCAAAGTTTCCATGTTATTCTTAGAGATCAAATGTTTGTTTACATTTGAACAGTAAATACTTTGAAATTTACTCTGATATTCGAAACAGCTGATTATATTAAAATTGAAATTAAGAGGGTTCTACCTGGTCAATTTATGATGGCGGCTAAACATTTTAATGTTTCTAAACATGCCTCTCAGTACAACGTATGTCTCTCAACACTCTAAAACTAATTTGTATCCAATGATTGTGTGCTTTTTGTGCTCTTAACATATCAGAGCTTGCAATAGGTAGTGATAAATAATTGTTTAACTATTAGAAGCTAAAATCACATGTAAAAAGGACTAATTTACGGATTTGAAAAACAATTTTGTAAAAAAAAAAACAGTTACAAAGTTTTAGTTTATCCAGGGCATAGTTTGGATCTTTGTGAATATTTTACAGTTTTAAACTCGATAAACACTTTAATAATGCAAGAGGGGTTTTTTTTGTAGGACCATGTTTACGTGCTGAACAGCTGGCAGCTGGAACCTTCTTAATGGATACAATATGTGCTATAAGGATTTATTAGATTAGTTCAAAGGATTGGTGTTTCACTGCATAACATTGTTTGAAAGGTTGAATTAATTTAAAAGTCAAGATACAGTAGTGACAGTTGTTGAGTTTTATAAGATCTTAGTTTTACTGAAACTAAATAACAGAATATTATTTAATGAGTGGAGGTTGTATATAACGCCAAAGGAACAATTTTTTTTAACATGATTCATCTATTGTAAGGATGGCGCTTACAGTGTGGCTAGGAAGTCTCTTCGTCGAGCCATCAACCGGAGTAAACGCAGTTGCTGGGAGACATTAAGGGACAATGTTGATTCCAATCTGTGGGGCCTGGGTTACAAACTTGTAACCAAGAAACTTGGCACCCGCTCTCCACCTTCTATCATGGATGGGGCCACTATGGAGAGGATAGTCGAGTCCCTTTTCCCAGCTCACACGTTGCGCCCACTGCAGGATTTTGGAAGGGTGGATGACGTACCACTTTTCAGTCTTGGAGAGATGGAGGCGGCCGTCCTATCTCTGAAGAACAATAATGCTCCTGGACCCGATGGGGTACCCGGCGAAGTCCTCAAGAAGGTTTTGACTACTAACCCCTTGATCCTTTTGCGCAAGTACAACGCCTGCCTGGTCGAAGAAGTTTTCCCCTTGTGCTGGAAAACAGCTAGGCTTGTGCTTGTTGGGAAGGGGAAGGGAGACCCAGACCTGCCATCCCCGTACAGACCTCTGTGTATGTTGGATACAGCAGGCAAAGTCCTTGAGTCTACGGTTGACGCTGTTGAGGAGGTGAAGCAAGCCGTGATGAGAGCTAAAGATTTGAACCACTTCTCTCGTAAGGTTGTGCTGCTCGTAAAACTCTATGTGCGAAACACATTTTATTTCCGCGAGGTGGTGCGATATGCTGGATGCTCTGGAGAACACCTTCCACGTTCCGGCATACCTCATGCGTATCATAGAGGATTATCTCCGGTTCCGACTTATCATGTATGACACTACAGAAGGCCTACAGATGAGTGTCACATCCGGTGCTGCCCAAGGTTCAATATTCGGCCCAGACTTCTGGAATGTCGCTTATGACAGCCTCCTGAGGTCTGAAATGCCTAAGGAAACTGTTTTGGTTGGGTACGCAGACGACGTTGCAGTTTTGATAGCTGCACGTAGCGTTGAGCTGGCTCAGCTAAAGCTGAACCGAGTTATGCGTACCATAAACGCTAGGATGGCAGATCACGGTATCTCGCTCACTTTGAGCAAAACTATCGTGATACTAATAAAAAACGGATTGACACTCGTGCCGTTGAGGGTAGGGACCGTGGAAGTCCAGACCGTTCGTACTGCCAAGTACCTTGGTGTTATGGTGGACAGCAAGATTAGCTGGCGGCATCATATTTTCCGTATGGCGGACAAGGCCGCTAGGGTAGTTTCCTCTCTTAGCCGGTTGATGGCCAATGTCGGAGGGCCTCGGTCCAGCCAGGCTGTTAATGTCTTCTGTCCAGTTCGTACTCTTGTACGTTGTGGAGGTGTGGGCAGACACTCTCAATAAGGAGGTATATAGGATGCGGCTCGCCCAAGTGCAGCGTCAGGCAGCACTAACAGTAGCATCCGCCTACCGAACAGTATCCGAACCCGTCCTTGTGGTTGCTGGAGTCATCCCCGTCAAACTTTTGGCAGCGGAGACGGTGGAGAGAAAGGCAATTTATCAGCGCCGTGGGGAGAACCAGGCACAAACAGAGGAATGCACCCCCAACCTACCAGCTGTGGCAGGAGAGCTGGGAACAGGAGACACGGGGACGCTGGACTAGGCGACTGATACAGCACGTCCAACCTTGGGTTAATCGGCGGTGCGGAGAGGTGGACTTCTACCTCACCCAATTTCTGACGGGTCACGGCTTTTTTCGGTCGTACCTGTTCAGGATGGGCAAAGCCGTGTCACCCGATTGCATATACTGCCTAGGCATATTTCCGATGACGTGGAACATAAACATACCTTTTTCCACTGCTAGCGTTGGGAAAGGCCCCGCCTGGAGGCTCAACAATTAGTAGGACTGCTGTCGGTGGACACGGTCATACCGATGATGACGGAGGGTGAGGACAATTGGACCTGTGTGTAAAATTACATCTAGGGTATTCTCCCTGCCAAGAAGCTCGACCTAGACTGGGATGCGGTGTAGGTCATAGATTATCTAAATGCCAGCAACGGTGAGAGCCCTGAGGGCTTAGGTCACATGTTGGTATGACGTAATGTGACAAACAATTCCAGGTCTGTGTCCAACAGAGTAGAGGGGATTTTTTAGTGAGTATTCTGTGATAAATCCAGGAGTTTCACACTACAGGCTGGCTACCTGTGTGCGTAAAAGCATTTTCCCTCCTTTCCCTTAAAAAAAAGGATGGCGCCTGCATTCTGCTGTATGATATTTATTATAGGTGCTGAATAATGGTCAGAAGTTCTTGATATTTATTTCTTTGTCTAAACATGTTTTCCCTAATTGAAAATAATGTTTGATTATAACGATAAGGTGAGGATGGGTGGTCTCAACCTTTTTCATGACATTTCTTGGAAAATATATTTTTATCTTCATGAGGGGATTACATTTAATTTAGGATTTTCCCAGACAGGATTTATTCCAATCATCAGTGACTTTTTGGCGTCATGAGTGACAATGATAACGTCTTACCGATTGCAGGGGTTTTCCGCGAACTCAGGAGACGATGATTATACATTTAATTTAGGATTTTCCCAGACAGGATTTATTCCAACCATCAGTGACTTTTGATTCCAAACTCAGGAGACGATGATTGTTGATTGTGTCTCTGTGGCAGCGGTAGATTTTTATGATTTTGACACAATGGCGGAACTTGTATCATGGATTATAGTCATGATGACTTTATGATATTACAGAATGTTTTATTACTAAACGTAATAATGCTTTTCTACTGGTAACCACATCAGGTCCCAAAACTTTACATTGTTTCAAAATGCCAGGACTGATACTGTGTATGCAACTTACCTGATGTTTGAAAGGCTTGATCTTGAATATGTGTTCCAATCAAAAAGAGACGTATCAACTGAGAAACTTAAAAATACCCACATAAATCAATTGGGCTCACTTTAGTCATGTTCTCCAAAAGACTGGATTAGTGTTAATCCTTAAAAGCTATACATTTTTGTAACATAATTTTAAATTTTGATTTCAAGTGAATTTATTGGGTTAAATAAATTATTATAACTAGTAGAAATCATGTTTACAATTTTTAGCTTTAATGAATAAGAAAGATAATGCCAAAGGCTGCTTTTTAAAGAGATATGTGGATGTTGACAGCAAGATGAAGATGAAGAAGGTGATGGTGATCGTCTGATCATAGACGAGGGGAGAGACTCTGGCAGTGCAGCAGGTCCGGGGGGAGAACTGCCGGAGAATGTACCTCAATGTCAGGGCTGCCACCAGCGGGCAGCACAGTTTGTGTGTGCTGGCTGCGGCAACCAGTGGTACTGCAGCCGAGACTGTCAGGTGCGATGACCAACTATTATATAATCATGACTATTCTATACAGGGCTACCACCAGAGGGCAACAAATATTGCTTGTATAATGAGACCGTAAGTGAAGAGTTTTAAACAAATGTGAAAAACCGATAAGTTTTGTTCTGTGAAACTATGAAGATATTTTTTACAAATTTCCTTATGGGGAAGAAGCTATTACCGCAGAGGCACGGAAATGCCTAGACCTGGATTTGATTTACTTTTTCATTTTGATGACCCCAGAAGGCTATATACAGAGTGTACCGAAACTCTCTACCAATATTTTAGGGAATTTCTCCTGGGTAAGAAACATATCTAAATATCATATTTAAATTGTCCGGAAGTCCTTAGTTACTCACACAGCCGCCATTTTGTTTTTTTCAGTTATTAAAATGTTCTAAAGAATGGTTAAACATACAAAATGTAAACTTTGCACAAACATTTATGACAACTAGACAAAGCTACCAAAAAATTTTGAAGATTTTTCAAATTCATAAAACAAAATGGCGGCCATTTATAAATTTTGTTTCTTAAATAACTCTAAAACCGTTGATTTTGCAAAGATTTTACAAGAATAACTTTTTTAAAGCAATTTCATTACAAATCGATTGACACCACATTATTTTCTAAGATTGTATTAACGAGTATTAACTGAGATATGGCAACTACTGTATATATTATACTGTGGCCCAGCTAAAATTGATAAAAACTTATATTTTTTTGTCAATTTGAAGTAATACCTAAGGAAAAAGTTATATAATTCAATTTTATTAGTATCCCTACATGCAGTATATATACGTATATACATAATATATACAGTATAATACGTGACCGCTTTCAGCAGGCGCTGCAACTAACCTCCAGCGGTCACGTATCACTAAACCTGTCATATCTCAGTTAATACTCGTCCAATCTTTAAAAATAAGATGTCAATCGATTTGAATGAAATTGCCTAAAAAAAAGTTATTCTTGTACCGTAACATTTTTGTATAATCAACGGTTTTTGAGTTATTAAGAAACAAAATTTTTAATGCCCGCCATTTTGTTTTATGAATTTGAAAAATTTTCATAATTTTTTGGTAGCTTTGTCTAGTTGTCGAGTGAAAATGTAAAAACTTACGATTTAGATTGTTCCAGACAATTCACGACCGTACCGCTTGTCCCTGACCATCGCGTTTATGATTTCTATCATAAAAATTTTTAAAATAAAAATATCATCATATTTCAATGTTTTATACACAAAAGAAGCACACCTGTATAAAAACATAACGATTTTTCGAGTCTCAGGTAAGTTTTTTCGGAGTTATACAAACTTAAAAGATTTTATTGGCTTTTTTTCAATTTTTTTTTTTTTTTTTTTTTTCTAGAAAGACTAAATATACCAAAAGCTTATAGTAAGCTTTTTATTGTATAATGGCCATCAAAGTAAATTAATTTATAGCAAAAACATTGTTATAAAAATAATATTAACTATTTTTAATATTCAGTTTTATGTCCGTGATGGTCGTGACAAAATTTCGTGTTTTTCCATCAAAAATAAAAAATCACCAAAGATATTGCGTTACCATGGACATTTTATGAAACTTCAAATGTCAATGAAAAAATAAAAATACCCCCGCCGCAGCAAACCTGCAGACTAAGCGAATTTCCATATGTCTGATTGGATTTACACTAAAATGTCTACTTAAAAATTTAACATTTATTTCCTATTTAAATAGAATTATTTTAACAGGTACTTAGGTTTGCTGCATCAGGGAGGGTAAAACTTTTTTTGTAAAATGTTAATAGTTAGTAAGAAATAAAAACATTTTCCAAATTTGATCAAAATATGTTCATAAACAAGCAAACTACAACGGTTTACTCATTCTCCATAAGAATAACATGGGAATTTAAAATTTACATTTTTTTGGAATTTTCTCCGAAACCATTAGGCGCATAGTAACACTTCAATATACTAAATTATTTGTTTTTTTAAGCTCTACAAAATGGTTTGAAAAGATTTTGCAAAATTTTATTTTTTTTGGGTCAAAAATGGGAAAAACCTATTTTTACCCCATAAAACCCCCCGTAAACCCCCGTTCCCATAGTCCGATCATGCTGGTTCGCGAACTCGTTCGAGTTTATCCCGCCTTACACCTTCAAACCAAATTTTATCAAAATCGGACAAAAATTACTCAAGTTATCGTGCGGATGGACACATATATATATATATATATATATATATATATATACACACGGCCGCGCCCGGGAAGCCAGTCACATAAAATATACACTGGAAGTCAGTCAGTTGCACCCCCCAATATATTTCAAGACTATGATATATATATAATATATGTTGGTAAATATCTTAAGCCTAGACATATCTGAACGTATATATCTCTTTTTTTCTTAAAAATACTAAAATATAATTACGTAAAAAATGCTATGCTAATGCAGTCACCACCGCATTTGCATGGGAAAGCCAGTCACGTAAAATTTGTGCTGCTAAGCCAGTCACTATATATTTTACCGCGTACCACTGGAATCCAGTCACTGAAAATCCACCCGGGTATCCCGTCACTTCAGTCACTTTCACTCCTGCCCTTCTACTTTGTGATATTTATTTGTTCTACAAGCTTGAAAATCCGCACCTCAAACAAATGGATTATGCTTCAGGCATTGAGCACTCTCATAACCCATCTTTCGCACTTAATTTTAATTAGTTGTCTTCCAGATTACTTAACAATTACTATTCTACAGATTAAATACCTAAATGTCAATGTAATCTTTGGTCGTCTTAATAGTCGTCCTGGCAACTGTGGATACAAATATGTACCGTACTAATTCGCAAGCGTAAGGTGGGAAGTTATTGCTTTATAGTCGCACAATTAGGCCTATTGTTGAGTCCTTGGAGGCAAGCGGCCATCTTGAATGATTTCAAAAAGCTGCAAAATTTATCGTCCAAAAATATTTTTCAAACACCAAAGTGTTTATAATTTAAATAGCTAGTATACTGTGGGATTAGAAATGTTCTTTGTAGTTTTGAATTATTCTCCAAGGGAGTCCATAAAATAAGTTAACGGTCACGGTCATCTTGGAAAAAGGCCAACTAATACGAAAACAATATCCTGTGTTGCGCGGGCCGTAGCACACAAATAGTTTTCCCGCCTTAAACAATCAAAGGCGTGTGGAACAAGGCAAAATTCTTGTCTCTTTTGTGGCGAGAGGTAGGGGCGAGCCTAACGGGTTCCATTGATGGGCTACCCGGCTACCGACCGACCTGGGGTAGCGACCAGCGAGCCAGTGGATGGTTAAAGGTTCTGCCGGTTATTTCCATCTTATTGCTGGTTCTCGAGCTTTTGAGCTCGTTGTACAGTGAAATATTACTTCCCTATTTTATATAGCCACAATCAAAGCGATTTTTACAAGAAAGAATGAAGATATAGACTCAGTGATGTGTGGTTACTTAATTAAATCATGTTCCTTGATTGTTTACCCTTTTGTAAGAGCCAATAATCAATCAACTTATATTTCTTTATTTTTCGATTTATTATCTATATCAATTCAAGAGGTAGCCCTGTACCTGGTTAACAAATATACCGATTACATTTAACGTGTTTTCTTTGAGTTACGCCCCATGGGATTCCAAAGTTTCACAATGTTTACATTTTTGAAGAATGTAGATAACAGAATGTTTAACGAAGTCAGCTTTAAATGCTGTCAATAAAGTTCTTTGATTTTGCGGTCCAAAAGGTAGAAACTATTCGAATTGTGAAACTTTTAATTTTTGCTACGAGCCTGTTAATTGGAGATTGTGACTTTCTTAAGTTAAGGAAGTAAACGTATTAACATGACGTGTTTGGAGTGGGATTTGAAATATGTGACGTGTATCAAACTTTGTCTCTTCAAAATCCTCTCCGATGTAAAACACAGGTACGGCAGCTAGGTTTATTAGAATTCAAAAGTTTTTTAATTGTCCTCCAATGTTTAGAAATTATTTTTCGATCAAGTTGTTTAATGAATAAATAATTGTTTTGCCAAATTATGTTTCGAAAACAGGAACTAAAAATAGATCAGGAAATAGATATTTTAGTTCAGAAAACAAAGCCAATCAAATAGGCCTACGTACTTTTTAAATAAAAACACTGGTCAGATGGTTTTTAACTTTGCTTTTTATTTACTTCAATAAATTTCTAATAAAAATCACCACAGGTACTAATCTATATAAATAAAATTAGAGTTTTGTCTGTACATTGCTCAGAATCATCAACTTTTAGATTATTTTTACGTTTTAAACATTCAAGAATCCGAAAAAAGTTTCATCTCAATTCCGTTATTATCTCAATCATCAATTATTATCTCAATTCCGTTGTTGTCTATCTTCCGTCTGTCACGGTCCAAAGGCCATTTTACGCGGCCTTCTCCTGAAAACGAGAGTACCTATCAAGATCCTCGAATCATTTTAATGTATTCACTGGATTGGCGAAAGTGTCTTTAGCTATTAAAATATGGCCTCGCTACTTTGTAAAAAAAACTTACGGACGTTTAAAACCCAATTTTGTGCGATTTTTGTCAAGTTTTCTCACAATGTTTATCACATAATCATCATATGAAATAGCGAACAGCTGTTCGGATCAAGATTATTTTTCTCTAGCTGTCACTGACATGTTTACATTGAATATTGTTTACAAATACCGCAATCATTTCATATCAAGTTTCAAAAGCAAATCCAAACCAAGTTGGATTAAAACCGTTTTTCCTTACATAACGGATTTAATTAATCGCAAGTGCAATAATGTGTAGGGTAACCGTAAATGAAAATAGAGCTTCTTTGTGTATAGAATTTCTATCGAGTTTTGGGTTTATAACCGGGGAAAAGACTTTGACTCAGTGTTCTATATGCCTGGGAAACTTACATTTTTTACATAAGCGTTACCAATAGCTTACATATAAGGTTTCAACTCGTTGACGGCACTTCAATGGTGGTTGTGTAAAGTGTTTAGAGACAACTG